GTGTACAGCACTTTGGCCAACAGTGTTGTTTTAAAGTGCTCTATAAATAAAGTTGTATTGTATTGTATTGTATTGTATTGTATTAAAACATAAAAAAAAAGAAGTTTTGCTTAAAAAACATATGATCAAAAATGACTAAGTTGAATGGAGATAATATGTGTGGTATAACATATTTAACAGCCTACCTGTAGACCACTTTTGAAGACCACTCTAGGACCTCACCTTTGCTCAACAAAAAATATTATAATAAACACAAAATTGGAATTGAATAAACACAAATTGTTCAGTCCATTCCTCTTTAAAATGCCAGTTTTCACTGCCCGCCTTTCTTTTACTGGCAAACTTGACGCATGGCATGTTTACCCAAACATAGCAGACCACTGCTCAAACAACCTCTCATGCCGTTCTTGCTGCAGCAGTGAACTCTCAGTAACAGCCGATTTAAGTGTTGTCACTTCTTTAGCACGTGCTGGCCAAACCAACGACACACAGTGACTGGTTTCAGACCTGGAAAATCCGGATCGAATCAACATGCAGGATTGAGATTCAAGACCTTTCGTGGTTTCCTGGATTTGGATCCAGACTGACTGCAGGATGCAGATAGAAAGTAGGTGGCGTCCAGACTTAGACAACTCGCAGGCCGGGTGTAGACGGCTCGCATGCTGGATGTGGACCATGGGCCGCCATTTGAGGGCCACTGCTTTATGTGATACTTTATGACCGAGATCATCTATCGCTGGCTCTGTGAAACACGTTCAAATTATTGTTTTACCTGCTGAAGACTGTATTGCTCTTAAGACCTCTGTAAGGGTTATCATTGTTGTTTTTATTAACACTCAAGGAACTCTTTTATGGGCAGCACAGTGGCGCAACTGGTAGAGCTGCTGCCTCTCAGCGAGAAGGTTGCCAGTTCAAATCCCGGTCCAGGGACCTTCCTGGGTGGAGTTTGAATGTTCTATCCATGCATGCATGAGTTTTCTCCGGGTACTCCGGTTTCCTCCCACAGACCAAAAACATGCATGTTAGGTTGACTGGTAACTCTAAATTGTCCCTAGGTGTGAGTGAGAGAGTGAATGGTTGTTTGTCTCATTTGTCTCTATGTGTCCCTGTGATGGACTGGAGACCCGTCCAGGGTGTACCCCGCCCCTCGCACAGTGATTGCTGGACATGGGCACCGGCGACCCGTGTGACCCAAAATGGAAGAAGCGGGTAAAGATAATGGATGGATGGAACTCTTTTATGTTTGTTTGTTTGTTTCTATGATTGGACAATTTAAAGGGATAATACAGCTTCTTCAGTGGGATTGTGTGAGATAAACAGTCAGTCAGGATGGTCTCAATTTGGAATATCATGTAGTCAAGTTTGCCTTTACTCAGAACAAGGAAGATTGAAGAGTTCATTTCTGCCATCAACCATTCCAGCCATCCATTATAATCTGCTTGTTCTGGATGTGGGTTGCAGAGGCAGCAGCTCAAGCAATGCAGCACATCATCTTTTTTCCAGTCACAACTTTGAGCTCTTCTGGGAGAACTCTAAGGTGTTCTCAGAACAGCCAAGAGAAATAGTCTCTCCAGTGTGGCATGGGTCTTCCTCAGAATCCCATCTCAGTTGAACATGCATGGAAAACATCCCTAAGGAGTTGTTCAAGGTGCATCCTTCCCAGCTGCTCAAACCACATCAACTGGCTGCTGTCAATGTGGCAGAGCAGCAGTTCTACTAGGGGTCTCTCCCAGATAATGGAACTTCTCACTCTATTTCTAAGAGAAAGTCCAGCCATCCTGCAGAGAAATTTTATTTTGACCGCTTGTATCTGCAATCTTGTTTTTGCAGTCACTAACCAGAATTTGTGACTATAGGTGAGGGTAAGAAAGTAGACTGACTGGTAAACAGAGAGCTTCATCTTGCAGATGAGCTCCCTCTTCACCACAATGGACAAACACAAATCCTGCGTTATTGCGAAAGTTGCACAGATCCGTCTTTCAGTCTCTCACTCGATTCTTCTCTAACTTGGGAATAAAACCCAGGTCAACAGCACCTCAACTCCATTATACACAGTGTTGATAAAGTGCTGCTTTCTCCGCCTCAGCCGTTCGATGGTTTGTCAGAATCTCCTAAAAGATGATCGATAGTTTCGACCCAAGGCCTCGCCAAGCTTCTCTCACATCTGAGTTTTTGCCTCAGCAAAATCCAGGGCTGCAACTTGCTTGGCCCACCAATACTCCTTAGCTGCCTCTGTAGTCCTACCAGCAAACAAGGCCTGATAGGACTCCTTCTTCAACTTGATGGCCTCCCACACTCAGGGTGTCCACACTGCATTTGAGAATGTCCGCTATGAGAAACACAGACAACTTTACGACCAAACTTCAAGGTAACTGCTTCAATAATAGAGGCATGGAACATGACCCACTCTGACTTTATGTCCCTCACCTTTGATGGGATGCAATTGAAGTTCTCTTGGAGGTATGAGTTGAAGATCCTTCTGACAGGTTCTTCTGACAGGCATTCCCAGGAAACCCTCACTACACATTTGGGTCTACTGGGTATGTTCAGCATTTTCCCACCATCTGATCCAACTCACAACCAGGTAGTGGTCAGCCTAGCGTGTCTTGGTGCCAAATGCACTTATGGATATGCTTATGTTAGAACATGGTGTTCATGATGGACAAGCAATGACTTGCATAGAAGTAGAACAACAGAGCACCGTTCAGGTTGAGATCAGAGAGGCCATTCCTCCCAATCATACTCCTTCAGGTCACACAGTTGTTACACAAGTGGGCACTGAAGTCTCCCTGCTGAATTAAGGAGCCTCCAGCTGGGGCACCTTCCAGCACCCCTGCTAAGGACTCCAAGCAAGCGGGGGACTCTGAATTGTCACTTGGCACGTAGGCAAAAACAACTGTCAGAGCCTGTTCCTCCACCCAAAGGTGCAGGGCAGCTATACCCTCTTATCTACCGGGGAAAACTTCAACACATAGGCACCAAGTCAGGGTCTATAGTAGACCCACACCAACTCAGCCCTTCTCACCATCTAAATCTAAAACTGCTCAAATCTAAAAAATTAAATAACAAATGAAGCAAATGTTCTGTGCTAAGTCATGTGTTAAGTCACATTAATTTTGATTTAGATAAATGTTTTTGGCTCAGTACACTTTGTTTTGCAACTTTATATCACAAACTTGTGTCAGAACATACAACATGTGATGTTCCAGTAAAAACAGTAAATAATAGTAAAGGAAATATTAGTCTAAAGCACATAACTAAAACAATTAGTTTTAAGTTGGATTAGATTTTGGAAATTGACTGTTAAAATAATTTTCTACTTAGAATCTGTAAACTTGACTTATGAGAACCTCTTTGCTTCTCCAAACTTGGATGATTCTGACTGCTGACTACTGCAGGTAACACACTCACTACTCAGAACGTTGGTTACGTACTGTAACCCCAGATTCTATGAGTATAAGCGTAGCCCTTTAAGGCCTTCGCTTTAGTGGGTTTATCCCGTTATGCAGAGCATAAGCACTGAAAAAATTAGTCCACGCCCACCTGCTGTGTGGGCCCCACCCGGTCCGTATAAATTACGTTAAGAGCGGGAAATCGGCTCCCAAAATAGCTTTTTCTTCAGCCATTAAGAGCCAGTGAGGCCCGACGCTTAAAGGGCTATGCTTATACTCATAGAATCTGGGGTTACAGTACGTAACCAACGTTCTATGTCGTATAAGCTTCGCCCTTTAAGGCCTTCGCTTTAGTGGGTAAAGGGCGAAGCCGATGTGGTCCTCGCCTCACTGGGTCCATTCGAACACAGTAAGAAGCGGAAGCTTGCCCAAAAAACGTCTTGTCACTCAGCTCCCCGTGTGCATAACTACGCATCGCGTAATTATGTGCCATGCACAGACGCATGTTGAGTAACTATGCGTTCTGACAAAGCATGAATGCCCCGGAAAACTTTCAACGGGAAGAAGAAGTTGAAAAGAGGGGGGGGGGGGCATGAACCAACTGGTTCATGGCTGAACAGTATAAACAGATTAATGTCCATGAATTGATTATTGATCAAATGAACTGATTGGTAACAATAGTCATGAACTGATTAGTGACAATAGAACCAAAATCACAGACACGACTTGTGACTGATAACAACATCTCACACTGTAATGCATGCAGACAGAAGTGAGCTTAAACAGAGTTCCATGAGAACAACAATATTCATTCTGTTAGAGCACTAAGGACAGAATGTGTCATGGAACGAGCCGTTACATCACGTAGGTAAAAGCGAATAAATGAGCAGGGTGTTGACCATGCAGCCGCAGTGCAAATGTCCTGCATTGACATACCATTATGCAGAGCAGTCGAAGATGCGATACCCCTGGTTGAGTGTGCTTTGAGGTTGACAGGAGGCTCTAGATCTGATGCTCTGTAGGCTTCAGAAATGGCCTCACACAGCCAGTGTGACAAGCGCTGGGTGGATAACGGGCGGCCTGCAGATGCATCTCTATAATGCACAAACAATTGTTGAGTTTGAAACGCATTGCAGCTGTGCGCGTTATGTAGCACGATAACGCCCGCACCGGGCAGAGAAGATGAAAAGATGCTTCTTCTTCTGATCTGTGGGGGGGAGGGAAGAATCCCTCCAACGATATCTGTCTCGATTTAAAAGAGCTCGTGATGTTTTTAGGCATAAAGGCTGGGTTTGGTCTTAAATCAGCTGAACTACCGTCAGCCTGGATTCTGAGACATGACGGAGCGGCAGAGAGGGCCGATAAATCACTCACCCTCTTAGCGGATGTTAAAGCCAGCAGCAGGGCTGTTTTAAGAGACAAGAATTTAAGTGAAACCTGATCCAGAGGCTCAAATGGAGCTTTGATCAGGGCTCGCAGGACCAGTGTTAAATCCCACTGTGGAACGAGTGGGCGTGAAACCGGCCTATGTCTTTGTACACCTTTTAGAAACCGCTTAATCAGCGGGTGATTAAAAGCTGTTCTGTCTCCGAACCCTTCGTGGCAGGAAGAGATGGCTGCAGCGTACGTTTTAATCGTGCTGAATGCCAACTTCCTATCCATCAGCTGTTGAAGAAAGGACAGCACGCCACCTAATGGACATGAGGTGGCCTCCAGACCTTTCTCTGTACACCAGCGCTGAAAGGCCGTCCACTTTGATGTGTACAGGGCTGTGGTAGATGCAGCGCGTGAATCTTGAATTGTGCGCACTACCTCCTGAGGGAGACCCATCCTCTCTAAGCGGGACCGCTCAGCGGCCAGACCCATAGGTGCTGGCCTATTTCCGGGTAACTCCTGATCGCTCCTCCTGCTTGAAGGGGAGCATCTTCCCTCCATGGCAGTTTCCACGGACGACCCGACAACAGACGTTGCAGGACTGGGAACCATGGTGCGTTCACGCGCTCGGGAGCTACCAGGAGAGCTGTCAATCCTTCCTCCTGAACTCGGTTCAGGAACCGTAAAATCAGAGGGGGAGGGGGGAACGCGTACAGAAGCGTTTTGGGCCACGGGCTGTGGGCAAATGCATCCACCCCCAGCGGTGGATCGTCTCGTGGGCTCAGGGAAACCATAATTGGCACTGAGCGTTCTCTCGCGTCGCAAACAGGTCCACAGCTGCTTTGCCAAACTTCTGCCACGTCTGAAACATCAGGTCTGGATGGAGGGTCCAGTCCGCGTGACGTGGGCCGCCCCTGGACATCACATCTGCTCCTCTGTTCAGAACGCCGGGTATGTAGACCGCTCTGATGGAAAGCAGATTTTGGTGAGCCCAACACAGTAGCTTCCGCGCAATGTGTAACATCTGGGCTGAACGCACACCCCCCTGGCGGTTTATGTACGCAGCAGTCACCATGTTGTCTGTGTGAATCAACACGTGTTGATTCTGTAGCACGGGAGCAAAATGCTGAATCACGTTCAGCACTGTGCGACACTCCAAAACATTGATGTGGGCTGATGTGTGGTGGGGCCACAGCGCCCCTACTGCTTGAGATAAGCATGCCCCCCCCCCCCCAGCCTGACAGCGACGCGTCCGTGAAGACTGACACGTGTGACGAGGGTCTGCTGACGGGGACTCCCTCTGACAGAACCAGGGTGTTTCCCCAGTGTCGGAGGTCTGCTCTCACAGAGGGAGGGACAGTGATCATCCGTCTCTTTTGTTTTACTGGATCCACACGCAGACGCGCAAACCACCTCTGGAGGCGTCTCATGTGTAACAAACCCAGCGGGACCACTGTGTGAGCTGATGACATCATTCCCAACAGCTTCATGACGGAAACAGCTGTTACCACTTTGCCAGGTCTTACGTGGCGTAGTTGGGTTTTTAGAGTGTCGATTCTTGTTTGTGATAAGCGAGCCGTCATGGTAATTGAATTTAATTCCACTCCCAGATAAACAATTGTCTGGGCCGGGAAAATCGAGCTTTTCTTCCAATTTATGGCGAAGCCCAGATTTAACAGGTGTGATGCCAACACCTGAGCCTGTATCAGCGCTTCCTGTCTGGAGTGAGACAGGAGCAGCAAGTCGTCCAGGTAAAACAAAACTCTCATCCCTGCTCTGTGCAACGGATGCAGGGCTGTCTCCACACACTTTGAGAACGTACGAGGCGCGAGGGAATACCCGAAAGGCAGCCTGTTGTACTGGTACTTCATCCCTTGAAAGGCGAAACGCAGAAATTTTCTGTGTTTTGGGATGATTGGTATGTGAAAATAAGCATCTTTTAGATCGATGGAAACAAACCAGTCGTTTATCTGGATGTTGTCCAACAGCTGTCTGTTCGTCAACATGTGAAACGGTCTGTTCATGATCGCTTTGTTGAAAGCTGACAGATCCAGAATCGGTCTCATCCCTCCGGTCCTTTTGGGGACCAGGAAGTAGCGTGAGTAAAACCCTGTGTTTTGCTCCTCGTTGGGAACTCTTGAGATTACACCTTTTATCAGAAGCTCTTGGACTTCTGCATTTAAGGCTGAGACTTGGTCTGGTGATGACAGGACCGTCTCTATAACTCCTCCGAACGGAGGGGGTCGGGTTGCAAACTGCAGCGTGTAACCCTTGCATAACACTCTGTCCATCCATCTGTCCGGCGAACAGGTTTTTAGCCACTCTGCGTAACGTTCGTGGAGTGGACGTGCGTTTAAATGATGTGCCGTGTTTTGAACGGATGTCATCCAATCCTCCGCCTCGACCGCCGTCATGCGTCGCGGAAATGTTTTCCGCGTGACCCAAGGCGAGGCTTCCTCGAAAGGGCTGTTCTGCGCGCGCCCGTGCGCTGTGTCTGGATCGCGGACCAACCTTCATGTCCGGGCGGGGCGGTGTGTGCTGAGGCGAGGCGTGTGTCAGCTGATGACGTCGTGAGGCTGCACGTTTAACGTCGCTGTGCGAACGTTGAGAGGTGGAGGGCGTGACGTCATCAACGCCGTGCTGTCGAAGTGAAGGTTGTGAGCCTCGCGGGAGCGCACGTTTTCTCTGGAGGGACGCGCGCCGCTCTCGCTGAGGGCGGGGCCCGTCATTGGATTCATTCAGCTGTCTCACGCTTATGCCGCCGTGAGCTGCTGATCGCTGAGACGCGATGGATGACGGCCGCTCGCGTTCGCTCAGGAGAGGCGTGTGTTGTTTTCGCTGAGAGCGGGGACCTCCACCGGACCCAGCCTGCGGTCCCACATTTATCCCGATGTGAGCCGGTGAGCGCCGGGCAGCTGTGCGTGCATCATCAACACAGCGCCGTTTGGATGGGGGCTGTTTGCCTCGCTCGGGTGCGCGTTTAACACCGCTTGGGTGGTGATCGTGCGGTTCTGATTGACAACAAGTTATTTCGCTTACCGTGGTGTCACGTGAGCGTCTGGGCATGTGATGGAGCGACGGTGGATTTAAAAAACCTTTAATTAAGGACACCGGCTCATGTGTGGAGGCTGTTCTGTGATCGACTCGTCATGTCTTAGAGCGACGGTGAGTTTAAAAACCTTTATTTAAGGACACCGGCTCGTGTGTGGGGCTGTTCCATCCCACGGGTGCGAGTTGACATCGCTTGGGTGAAAATCGTGCAGCCCGGGATTATAACGAGTTATTTTCACTTACCATCGTGCCCTGTAAGCGACTAGTAATGTCTTGGAGCGGCGGTGAGTTTAAAAACCCTTATTAAGGACACCGGCTCTTATGTGTGCGGCCGCTGTGAGCTCATCCGAGCTTACAGACTGGCTAAAAAACAGACACTTTGATCATTAATGATGATTTATTTCAACTTTCGTGTCACTTTACACACACCCTCCGGAGACCGTCATTTTGAGAAACTTCTCTCTCATGAGCTCTGCCATTGTTTGCCCAGAGCGCTGTCTTGCAGGCGAACTCTGGGGAAACGCTGAGCTGCAGGCTGCCGGAGTGAAGAGGGCTGGATTCTGACGGGCGGGGCTGGTGGTGGAACTCAGCGAGAGCCGCGGCCGTGGAAAAGTCGAAGCTTGCTCGCGACGGTCCCTCCAGCGGGACGGGGTGGGCCGCGCGGCTTGATGAGGTGGCGCACAGCCTCTGGCATCTCCTCCGACTGTTTCACTTCGCCAGCATGGTTTGAAGCTGCTCTGAACAGCGCGTTCGCGATGGGCTTCATCAGGTCTTGTGCAGATTCTCCGGCAGCGAGGGGAGTAACGAAGCCAGGTGGGTCGATGGATCATCGTCATCCGCGCTGCAGTCCTCGACAGGCAAACCGTGGGAGAGGCACACATGTTGAGCTGGCGTCAGCTGCCTTACAGAGGGAGTTCTTTGTCTCCAAGGCAGGTCTGCGGCCTTCAATCCCTTGGACATGCTATATGCTAGCAGCGCACGTTGTTGCTAACTGCGGCTGCCTGAAAACACGTCGGTGGGCTCGATTGGAGAGCGTGGTCGCCGTCTGGTTCGTGTTCCTCTGGAGGGACGGGACGCTGCTCCGACCTGGGCAGCTTCGCTCCGGAAGCTTCCGCGAGGCTTGGATCCAGGGGGGGTTACCGAGGAATAGCCCCGCTCGGTGAATCCCTCAACTCTGGTGATGGGAGCGGACTGGGGACCGACTCCTCTAATCTACCAGGAAAGAACCGTCTGCGGCCTCGCCCGTCGAACGTCCTGTTGGAACGTGAGGCCGTATGGATCAAGACGGTGAGCCATAGTGGAGCCCAGTGAAAAACAACCTTTCCGCCGATCATCCGAACTGGCGGGAAAAGGCGAGGGACGTAGA